GGCTGTAATCTTCTACTGTTTCCTTCAGTTTCGCCTTCATGTAAATGTCATCTTTTTAGGTGAGATCGAGACACCTCGCGGTTTGGGTTGAAGTTAACTAATTGCCAATCATCTCGGGGGGGGGGGGGGACCGTAATGGCCGAGTGGGGTTAGTGTCCGGGTTCTAATCTCGGTTGCGTGACCCCTAAGTGTTGATATGACCGACGCAGTCGCTGGCGCTTCATAAAAAGGGTGTAACGGCCGAGTGGTTAGTGTCCGGGTTCTAATCTCGGGTGCGTGACCCCTAAGTGTTGATATGACCGACGCAGTCGCGGCGCTTCATAAAAAGGTGGTAACGGGCCGAGTGGGTTAGTGTCCGAGTTCTAATCTCGGTTGCACGACCCCCTGAGTGTTGATATGACCGACGCAGGTCGCTGCCGCTTTATAAAAGGGGCGTAATGACGAGCGTAGCGTCACGTTCTCGTCAAAAGAAACAATCGTCTTCAAAATATATATCGTCAGTGATGGATGACCCGTGCGCTGGTTTGTCTAGTTTAAGTTCATCATCATCATAGCCATGCACAGCAACACGGAACACGTGGAGGACGAGTGACGGGTAAAGGTATTTGTCACTACCACTGACCCAAAGGTGGATTGAAACTCCGGGAAGTCAAGTGCCAGGCTTAGTATTTGTACCGAATGCACTCAAACGTCACGTTGTGTCCTTTGCGCAGATTTGCAGGTAAATCCCACGTTTGTCTCTCCAGAGAATGTTGAACCTAAATCTCAGTGTAAATCTTGAATATTTTACTTCTTGACGAATCAGCCCGCATGGTGGTCGCTTCGCTCCGTATTTTTGTACCCATTTTGTCCAAAAGCTTTAGATTTTTGACCATCATAATTTCTGACTCTGTGTGTGCATTTCTATAACGGAAATCCTCTCTTACAGAGGCCCGGTAGCTCCCTGACCATTTTTCAGGCTAACCTTTAGTGAAATTTGTGAACAAATATGAGCTAGAGTTGGTTCTCCACCCCTTCGGACCAGGGCGTGACATTTGGCGAATCGAATACAAGAATGATCTTCTTTCCGCCTCTGTGTAATAGAAGTTTTCCAAAGAGGTGTTCCTATTGCCTGCAGGGGTTGTAGGTTTCACAAAATGAGTTGGGAGTTGGGGTGGGGGGGGGGGTGCCTGAAAGCAGGGAAAAATGCCAGGGCTTTGCCCGGACAAATGCATAGTCAAGAAACAAGGTTTTTTCCCCAAATCTGGCCCACTTTACTTCCCATAGTTGGAGGACCAGGGGCTGGACCCTTCGAGCTAATTTGTAGGGCTGAAGCCTCCACCCTCTAAACAGAACAGGAAAACCTACACCCCTGCTGTGCCGTCTTGCCTGTTCCGCATTTTTGTTCTACTGTATTGTCGATGATTAGTTTTTTGAGATAGCCAGAGAAGTCTATAAGGTTTGATTTTATTCCTTTGTTCTGGTTCGGTCCGTCGAAGGTTATGTCTATAATTGTTCAGTTGCATCCTTTTGATTGCAGTATGACGAGGCCTTCCCAACTCCGTTTTCCACGTGACTCTAGCTTTCTTACCACATTTCAGGAGGTCCATTGAGCCCTCACCCCACTCCCACCTTCTACGTCGATGGAGAAGAAAAACTTTCGTAGTTTCAAGGGTCAAAGCGTGGAGCCTATAAAAATATTGCTTTGATTGCCCAATATGTGGGAAGTTGCCGCATTTTCTCCTGATTTCTCCTAATTCTCCTGATCATGTGGTTTCTTCCTTTAAGCCAGAGCTTTCCGCTTTCCTCTGTTTTCATTCTGCACGGATTTGACTTGGCAATGGGTCGATGGGAAGCGGGCACGAGATGCAGTGCTTCCTTTGATTCGTTATTGCATTAATTGCAGCTACGGTTGCAAAGTCAAGCCCGTCGATAAAGTGCGGGGTGGCAATAATTCAGCTATGTTGGACTGTTTCAGCTGAGCAGAAGCTTTTGGGTTTTGGCATTTAAAATGAGATTTGCCAAGATTCTTTCGATCATTACACGGACATGTTCTTGTAAGACATTTTTGTTTATGTCTAACCACCTTCACCGGGGTACCGGCTTTGGCTGTTGTACGGGGAAGCGGTCCTCCGGGTTCCAGATGACATCGTAGTTCTATCGGTCAGACCGCATGCCTCCTGACCAAACGTGGCTGGATGGCTGGATTCGAATCGCCTCGTCGCTCCATGTTGGCCCGGGCCTGGGTGGCCTGCGGCCGGTCTCAGCGGCCGCTCAAGGTCAGATGGCGTCAGATGGTGGGGCGGACCGCGCTAAGCATTTGTTCATTTTGGTTCTATTGTGAATTGCCTTTTATTGCCGGCAGAACAGCACTTCACTAACAAGTTGTATCGTGATGTTACTGGCGTGCGCCTGAGTCCGCCCCTGCTCGCACCGCCAGTGCTGCTGTACCTCGGTACGCCACTGCCCCGACCGGCGGTGTACTGCCTGGGGCGCCGCCCGCCGGGGTCGGCGCCGCCTGCTCGCCTCGCGTGCTAAGACAGTTACCGTCTCGCAGCGCTCGTGTCTGGTCTAAATGACAGTGGTCCGACTGAAGGGAGCGCGAGCAGACAGAACAGTAAGACTTGAATACAGGTGAAGTCGTCTGAATAAAATGCAACAAACGTACAGCACTCAGTAGTATGAACATAATTTAGGGATGCCACATCTCAAAGCTATGTGATGATGCCACGAATTAAAACACTCTTGATCACTTAAACTTTGAAAACTGCCAAAACCATCAGAACATACATCCGCCCTAGTGTTGCTAGCTAAAAAAGTGTTCCCAACGCTTAGTAGTCTGCAAAACAGACCGTTCTGTGCTGTTCGCACACGAGCGCGAGGTACAGCTAGCAGAGTTCGGGTGCGGGTCGGTCGAGGCGGCGCAAGCAAGGGAAACAGCTTGGCAAGATTCGAGAGGCCAGTTTACCTTGGAATATGTTTCTCAGAGAGAATCATCGTGCCGCCCTCTTCGTGCTGCTAGGTATGGGATTTTGAAATGAAGCAGAAGGCTGCCATGAGAAAGAGAAGCTGTTTGCTCACACAATGAGTAAGCATTCAAATAACAAACTTGTGCTGCATTCGATCGACCCGCACTGTGTGGCAATTGGTCACCCCCTACGTTAATTTTTTGCGGCACGTTAACTCTTTCGGCACAAAATTCTGCTGCGGAGCTGGAGCTTGCCAATCGGACTGTGGGGTCAGGGTCAACACAGTAAGCCCTGCTTAACGTGAAGTGTGGTTGCAGAAATTCATTCAATCAAAATATTCGAACAGTTTCTGTTTTAGTGAGGCAGGAGATATATGGCAATGGATGGGAAGCCGGGTCTTAGCAGTACTCAAACAAGGCACGAAATGGGCCGGAAAAAGCGCGGAAAATACAGGAAAATTGGCACAGGCTACGCATGATGTACGAGCTCAGCACAAAGGGGCGTCCCTCTAGCAGATTTGGCCTCCATGTCGCAGTCAGTTGATATTGTTGCGATGTCCACTGAGATGGTTACCAACCGTGATCGTGTTGTCGAAACTTTTTGGAGTTGACACGAGCTGAAACGATCTGAAAATATACCAATCTAAAGTTTGTCTCATTTTGTAGTTCTCACACGTTATGCCTGGCCTGTCCAGCCATGTCAACCATGTGACACGGTTCCTTTTCACTTCGCTGCTCATTTGCAGCAGACTTAAGTTTTTCAGTCAGCGCTGTAAGCTGCCTGACGGGGCTGCATAACATGCTATGATTTAGGTTTTGGATGGCCTTACAACTGCGGTCTTAATCCTCACCGTGATATTCGCGCAGCGCAAAATGTCTACCGAGATTACTCCAGGCAAGGTTCAAGGCTGTGTCTGCGGTGGCCGTTATTTCCAATCATTATCCTTTCACCACTGACGCATGTCACCCGTGTCTAATAGCCTTGTGTGCCAATTTGACGTCAGCACCAGGCTTTGCTCTGGTGTGGCCATGACTATAAGGGGCGTTCCCAAAGGTTATTAACATCGATAATGTCTGTGACGTGACCATTCTGCATGCTCTGCTGTAATCACTAAACGAGACACTAAACCGGACATCTGGTGCAGAACAGTGCTATGGATGCCGGTCAAGTCGCTGGCGTTCCTCACATTTTTTGTCTACAAACCTCTGGGAACAGTGTCATAGAACAATGTCTTCATCAGGGAGAAAATTAAAACTATGTGAAAACTTTGAAATTCATGCAACCAACAACTCATTATAGTTCGTCTGAAGGGCGTTATCCGCATTTGTGCAGGGACGTTGAACTGGAAAAGCCCTTTTGAAGACCATTCACAGTCCCACCGTTCATAACAGCTAAGTCCCTCTAGTTTCGAGCTACAAGCCAATGAAGATGTGCAGAATGTTTCGGGGAGGCTATTTCAAGGTCACCCAGGAATGCGTGACGCCATAATAGCGCCATTTAAATCCTTCCATTCCAACAGTCGTGTGACTATCAAGGCCAGAAAAGTATAGCGGTCAAGTTATTCATATCTGCCTTTCCTCCGTGCGGTTTCAAAAATTCACGCATTGAGGAACAATGACGTATTGAGGACCATATTTACTACACAGAGAGATCGTGCTCTCTAGAGCAGTGTTTTCCACTTAAAGCGTACCAATTGTTATGCGTGAGCTTATTTCATCACATCTGATGCTTGCTTCAACATCTTCAAATGTGGAACATTCCCTTCAATGTGTCAAACGATGCCTCCGAAAGCACGGAGATAATAGGCACTAACCAACCACCCTCCAGGCGAGGGATTAGCATGCATATCCGGGAAACTCATCGAGCATGCGCGCGCACAGTCACGCTACAAGCGACAGCACACACACGAGCGCACGGTCACCGTCACACGTCACACGATCGGCGGTCTCTGTGTTAGCCACGCCGGGGAGCTTCGTCCAGTCCCCGCCAGGTGGCACAAACTCGGTATATAACAGGGCTGGACGCCAACCAGCCTGGATTCTAGTCGGAACAATGACTGGGTTTAGGCTACTCGTACTCTGTGTTGTGATCGTGACGGTCAGTGGCCAAGGTAAGCAGCAACGCCCTCTTCATAAACTCGCCATGCGCGTGCCAAACAGCACGAAGGTTTCCTCGTTCGCAACGCCCTCTTCATAAACTCGCCATGCGCGTGCTACACAGCACGAATGTCCCCTCGTTCGCAACGCCGTCTTCATAAACTCGCCATGCGCGTGCCAAACAGCACGAAGGTTCCCTCGTTGGCAACGCCGTCTTCATAAACTCGACATGTGCTGAGCACCAAACAGACCAAACGTCGCCACGTTAGCGCTAGATAATACTGTCCGCAGGTTTTCATTTTACGCACAAGAGCAGTTACCAAAGGAAACTCCTAATTTCCCCAAAACGAAACCTGAATTTCTTCAGAGCTTGGAGGTACAACACCGTGTCTCCCTTACTACACTGAGGGCACCAACAGGAATCTGTTGTCTTGTGCCCCGGTGAATAAGACACGCTATCGAGGACAGGATGCTGAATACGATAGTAATCAACAGCATTACATTACAGTACTTAACGTGCATAACACTGAACAAGCACTTAACTTGTTTTCCTCGTAGTTTCCTCTGCGTGGCAAGTACCTGCAACATTCTCACATCAAGATGCAATCATGTCACAAGCACCCTCAGTCACAAACTGGTGACTCAAAACAGCTTAACTTGTAAGACTGTCTTTTAATGAAATCAAAAAGCTCTGCGAATTTAATGTCATTACCTATGAATCCTGTTTCTGAAACTACGGCTGCCCACAGATACGCTTCAGTAGTGAACACGTCACATCTAATCCAAGCATGTTTTGACACAGAATGTGCTTGTCGCACGTCAGCCGCGCGTGGGCAGTTTTTAGAAGATCAAGTTTACTGAGAACGGGGATTATTAAAGAAAATGCCGTCTGAGGTTAGCTGCGACAAGCGATAAGCTTAAGCAGTTCGTAAATACACTGACGGTGCACAACGAAGCGTCTAGTAACGCAAGATTTCAAGTTGACAAAACTCGGGTGCCATTCTGGAATAGCGTAGAGTCTTGCCTGCTGTCGCCAGATTTTGTCGGCCGATGCTAATGACACCACTGTAAAGTGTGGGCTCCTTGTGTATTGTTCTCGTATGTGCATTGTAGCACACACTGCTCACTTATGTCCGTAGTGTGTACGGTAACCATATGATTTTGCCGAAGTTACGGTAGAACAGCTGCCCTTGGTCCGCCGCTGATTGGCCGTAATGGGTTTACCTGACCACCAATTAGGCATCATACGCTTCCCATACTTTGCTAAGCTCTCCGCACCTTGTGTCGCTGTAATCAGTATGCATAGTAACCCTTCGACCTTCTTTCCGCAACACTTTGAAAAGTTACCGTTGTGATAGTTAGCAAACCTAGATAATTTATCAGTTTGGAAAAAATTTGGCAGCAGTTTAAAAGATTGCAACGAAAAAATAGAAAGGTTTTCAGGGATACAGTGCAAGAGCATAACCAGTTCTCCTGACTTCATTGCGAGTTAAACTAACACTAAAGGCTATCAAGCTCACTGCGATCGTAATGCCAGTTTTTTTAAGTTCTTTTTCTCACGCAAGCAGAACAGGACTACCACGAAGCGCGGGACTGTCCATTAAAAACCAAACATTCTACACCTTGCTGTCTGTTAAAGAGTGGCTTAGTCAACACCACACAGGGCAGGCTGTGGTGATGCTCTTATCACATTGACCTGCCTACCGACCACCGCTACCTCCCACATAATCGCCCCAGCCCGTGTACTGCGAATGAGACGGCGGCTCAAGGACGGTTGAGCGAGCTTACGCCACGTCCAGCGGCCTGACGGACTGAACAACACCTCGGCTCCTCGCCGAACGTGTCGCAATGTGAGGAAAGCGAGACGTGACTGGACTTCTCTGCCGTCGAGGATCGTGCAGAAGCTTGGTCCGGGAGTCCCCGCCATCAATGCCGCTCGTCGAAACCGCGCAGCTATAAGCCATGCTCAAAACAGGCTGAAAAGAGCTTGCACCGTTAACGGACTATTGCAAGCCCAAGTGTCCGATATGTTGAGAGGCTTGTGCTTTCAGAACATGAAAAGGAGAGAGGAGGGAGAATAAAAAGTCCGCCAATAGCACTCAGTGGTTCACAATGTGCTGCTTGCTTCCAGGGGTTAACAGTCAGCTTGTTCTTTTACTTGTGCTGCACGAGGAAGAGGTGGGGAGGGCTCTTCAGGTTTTTCGACTTTAATTTCTAGATCATTCGGGAAAGTCTTGAAGCTTAGTGACTTCCCAGCCGCTCTGTTCGGACAAACCTGCACACCTTGATCCTAGTGCAGTCTGTGGTGGTTCCTGAGGGGATTAGAGAAGTGTCATCCGCGAACTATGGCGTTTATCTTAAGAAGTAAACCTGAACCAGATAGCATCTTTCAGGGTAGAAATTCGACTCCTTTCGAAGTGATGCATTCACGGGTGCGCGCTGGCAGACAGCATTGGTCCAGGATATAGGGAAACAGAAGATAATGATCCGGGAAATTGATCACATGGAATTTGCATTAACGGTAAAAAATTATATGCGCATATCGCTTTTTATATTTTGATTGACTTGTTCGAGTATCCCGAGACCGTACTGCTCGTGGGTCAGGCATATCTTTACCGTACTGTCTACGTAGCACGTCTTTCGGTACCGCACCGCCCGCACGGCATTTGTCTCGGTACCATGCCTCCCGCGCAGCACGTTTCTCGGTACCGCGCCGCCCGCGTGGCAGTTGTATCGGTAGTACCTCCCGCGCAGCACGTGCCTCGGTACCGCGCCGCTTGGTGCGGCACGTGCGTTTGTAGCGCACAGCTGGTGCGTCGGCTGCCTCGCAACGCACCGCTGGCGCGGTGAGTGGCCCCAGGCGGCCGGGTCGGACGCTGGGGCCGCGCGGTTGCCCCACTCGTGCCCAGTGACGCAAGGAACGCTGCCTGGCACAGATGCGAACCGGGTCACCATGGCAGCGGGCAGCCACCGCCGCAGGGAGCTGCAGAACTGCGCAGTGCCCTCAGCCCGCCGCAGGGCGCGGCGCCAGCTCCAGCCATGCCGCGCTGCTGAGCTGTGAGGGAGCGAGGGCCACACCTGCACATAGAACCCGGTCTGGCGTCAGGGAGGGCCGTGGCCGCACAGAGGGGCCTCTCTGGCGCCAGGGAGGGCCGTGCCTGTACAGAGGGCCCTCTCTGGCGCCAGGGAGGTGCAGCAGTCCCGATGACGGCGCCGTTGTGCAGCATCAACTGCGGCCTGGTTCTGTGTTGATGTTCGAGGTGGGGAAGGCCCCCCAACTTCCTGTGCTGATAATGCAAACGACGCCTGTAGCGCAAGAGAGAGAGAGAGAGGGGGGGGGAGAGGGAGAGAGTGTAGGAAGGTACATTCACTGACGTCAGCGCGGTGAATGCGGTCTGTTTGAACCGCAGCTTGGTGGAAAGTGTGCGCTCTTTCGTCGCGGTGCGAGCTCGACGGAAACTTAGCTGAAGAGAGCTAGCAGGCCTGCACTAAATGAAGAAGCGCACAACGCGCTTTGGAAGGGGATTCGTAAAATGGTTCTTCATCCAAGGAGCTGGGAGGCACTTCACTGGCGTGGGATTTAGAGGTTTACGTCCAACAGGGAGCGTTTTACGATATTTCTCAGATGCTCACGCCCAGCCCACTGATACGTGCCCTGCCGATGGCCGCCAGGGGGGACATGCCCCGTTCACAGATCCTCGTGCTCCGGTTCTCCACCCGGCTCGGGCTCGTCCTGTCGCCTGCGGACCCGTGCCGTCGCGCTGGCACGCCAACCCTTTCGCTGTCGTCGCCGCGGCACCTTCACCAAGGTCGTGCGCGGCACCGGCCGGACCCGGGCGTGACGCGGCGCTGCGGACGGCACGCGCAGCCGCGGCGCGGCGTCGGCGCCGGCCCGAGACGCCGCCTCGGGCGGCGCGGCCCGGGCCGGCCGGGGTGCGACCTTGCCGCCGGTGGCCGCCGGCAAGTCGGCCCCTGCTCTGCTCGCGCGTGGTGCGCCCGCGCCGGCGAGACCGGTTTCTTAAGAGCGCCATGATTCATCTCTGTTTACCGATTGGAAGAGAAAGGCGCCGGTGTTGTGTGAAATCGCACGATCTTCATCGTGATGTATTTGGACGGGGGCCAAGTGGGTCGAGGAAAAACGAGGTGGCTATAGTGCTGTGAAGCACTTACGTCGACTACAGCATGGGGTGCAATGTCCTCCGGTTACGAAAGTGGAGCAGAGATGTCCCTCTCATCTGTCTGATGTGAATTCGGTTCTTCGATACCGGCCGCGAATGACATTCGACTCCCCCCCCGGCGAACCATTCGAGGTTTTTTCTTGGCGGGGGGAGGCGCGGGGGGGGCGCTCGGGGGGGCTCCCGTCACGGGGAACTGACACCCGCACATGGCTGATGTGCGCGGCTTGCCTCGCATGAGCGAGGCGGGGCGAGGATTGAGCAAGAAATGAGAGTGGGGTAGAAGGGCGGATATAACTAGGAAGCTGCAGTCACGAGCGTTTTCACGTTCGCTGAGAAATCACACAAGTCTAAGCAGGATTCTCATAGCTCACTGAAGCTCTGCGTTCAATATGAGCCAACGCTTTTTGCCTGACATTTCCTGTTACATAATTCAGTAGTTATGAACCGAATCGGCTTGCCAACAGCTCAAATTGACATAAGCCTATTGCCCCTGGATGAATAACACAGACGCCCTTTATCTCGACCTTGGAGCTTTTTTTACCGAAAATGTACCCGCCGTCCTCCAGAATCTTACCGTGCCCAAAACGACTTCTGCCAGATACCTTTTAGTCCACTGGGTACACGTTCCGAAGGCATTCACAATTGTACGGGTTACACGCAATCCTACGGACCGGTCGTAACGTGGTCATATCCACGACAGCCTGAGCCGCGACCGAGCGGTAGGGCAAGTGGGCAAGCACAACTGGCAAAGTTGAAGGTTATCTCTCGGGATCGTCTTGAGCTGCTTTTCTGGTTGCCTCTTGAGCGGCGTCAATGTTTTCCTGCTGAAATGTTTGTCCTTTCAGTTAGAAGACATATGGCTGCCTGCCATCTGCGATATCTTACTCATGCCTGATGACCACAATCAATCGTTGAATTGAAATAGATATATCAATCAGCGTTACTCGCTGCAAAAGATGGAAGTGTGGCGTTGAGATTGGGTTGAAAGATGACAACATTGGATGAATCAGGGCTGCTCAAACAATAATTCCCCTCAACGCAAGAAGTTCACATCGTGCAAACATGTGTTCGAATCAAAAGCGTTATCGAGACTAGTTTTGAGGACAGGAATCTACAGGCAGAAAGCGTTACTTCATCTACTTTCCTCGTCAAACAGCCTCAGTAAAATGTCACTGCCTTGTTTCTGGCCTGCTTTGCCCCATCTCATGTTCATCGCTTTTCACTGTGTGCAAAGTCGTGTCACAGATTTAGTCATCTACGCGTGCGATACGAGGAACACTATCAGTGCTCGTTTCACATGTCCACCTGTGTGCGCCTTTGGCGCTCTGGCGTCGCTCCAGTCCTGGCTATCTGTACCGTGTCTCTGTACCACGTGGTACGTGGTCCATGGTATCTGTACCATGTCTCCGTACCGCGAGCGACGTGCGTGCGCCGTGCAGCCGGCTCGCACCGCGCGCCGCCTGTACCTCACCCGCCTGTTCGCCGTCCGCAGCGCCACCGGCGTCGAAGCAGTTCTGCCTGGAGCTGCTGCGCAGCGATGAGCCGCACAAGACCTCGGAAGCGCTGCTGGCGTGCGTGCGCGAGGTCAAGGCCGCGCAGCGGGACGGCCGCAAGTTCGAGCTCTCGTCCGCCGTCTACGACAGCATCGGCCAGTGTATCGCCAAGCGCATTGGCGTGCTCGACGGCTTCGGACGCGTCAACAAGGAAGAGCTCGCGCGGCGGATAAGGGCGAGCAAGGAGATCACCGAGCAGCAGCGCCAGTTCTACCTGAGCGTGGTGCCCAACTGCGACGGCTGGAACAGTTGTCTGAAGAAGCACTGCCGCTTGTGAGCGTGAGGAACGGGGCGGCGGGTCAGCGTGAGGACGGCGTGGCGGCGGGTCAGCGTGAGGAACGGGGCGGCGGGTCAGCGTGAGGAACGGGGCGGTCGGCGCACTACGGCATGCGCGAAGGCGCGCGTGCCGGGATGCAGCCAGCTGCCGGTTGAGACGGGCCCAGACGTCCTCGATCGACGGAGATTTGTAGGCGTGCTACGCAGGCAGATGATCTTCACCTTACCGGCCCCAGCCATGAAAATCGCTGCCCTCGTATGTCCAGAATCTCCAATAAAGCGGCCGCCCGCAGCAAAGGACCTCCGGAACGCAAATGCTTCTACTCCCAATGCTTTTTTCAGTCAGTTATTGTAGTGGCCCAACGTGTTACGTGTGTTGTCGCGATAAAGTCCGGATGTGTGCTATGATGACGTCAGACGATTCAGACTCGGGCTACTCGTGCACTAGGTGCGCGGAACATTTACGCCTATCACAAGCATAGAGAGACACGGGCAGAAGGTCAGCGTCTATGGTGTAAGCTTCAGAATAGTGCTGTGTGAAAATGGCGGTGCAATGACCAATAAACCATGTGAAACACACAACTTGGTATAGTGGAGGAAAGTTGCATTAGACGTGTTCCGTAAGCGGTTACTAACTAATTCTCACAACGTATTCCCACGATACACGATAAGGTGTAGGAACTCCGCACTGTTCCACATCGTAATGCGGACCAGGAACGAGGATTAACGCATGTTGAAAACATCGCTGGACTGGTCCTGTAGGTGCTGTACTAAGTTTAAAACCCTGCCCAGCTTCAGAGTTCGCCTTCGGATCGTGCTGCGCGATCAAGACGAGCGTATATGCTCCGACAGGTAGGAAAGGAAACTTTTTCCTCGGAGGCTTCATCGTGACGTGACATGGCATAGAACAGAACCTCTATTGCCGTTAATTTGCTAAGCTGAACAGATATGTTATTCGTGGCAGACATATCTCGCAGAGCAAGTGGCGCTCAAGGTCCGGTGTGAGACCAGCTGAATATGAAAAGCGTTTAAAATCCGTTGCAGTAAAGATCCCGCTCGCTAGGTCATTTCGAGGATATCGTGCCCTGGTGCCCAGCTGCCCGCATGACGTCATCTCCAAAGAAGACAATACATTTTATAAATATGGTTCCATACCATGAACAATATTCTCCACATCCGCTTTCGATCGCTTGACTGTTTGGGGGTTTGATTTGCTCTCAAACAGATTCTGCGATAGTTACACAACACCTCTATCGTGTGAATATATTGCACATCACCATCATCATCATTTATTTCACGCCTTGTTGGACAACATACAATGCAAGAACACGCAACTATGTACATACTCATTGCGCACATTTAATATGCGTGGACGCGTCACCAATCAACCCATAACGGGTAGCCCTCTGACCTCTGACCCCTGGCTTCGTTCCCGTCAAGTCTCATCTAAATGACCCAGCCGCACCCAACTGGAGCCACACTGGAAAAAGTACGCAGCTGTCCATGCTCCCCTCAGACCAAGTTGACAAGCCGCCACCAATCTTGACCGCAAAGCAAAGACGTAGACCCAGTAATGCCCCCCGAGAGCCCATCAGGACCTGCTGGGAAGATTGCAAGCAAGGCTTTAGCATGTAGGGCTCAGCGTAACCGACGCGAAGAACGAAACAGGCCACAACACTTTGTGAGCACAGCAGACCGAACCCATCCCGTATTCGCGGACACGCAAGCCCTGAGAAGGGTTGTGCCACGCGCTCGCCGCGGCAGTCCGACTGCCGCTCTGAAGGTAGATGCCTGTCAGATACCTGTGTGCGTGTACCTAGATGCGCTCCACGTCCGCTGCGATCAAAGCGACTTGTGCGCTCCCAGACAAGAGGAGAAGAGTGGGGGGCCACCATGGTGCGCCACAGGAAAGGTTTATCCTGTGTAGGAAGGCAGGGACTCAGTAAACAGTGTGCTGGATCGGAATGTAGTGTAAAAGGTCTCCTGTGGCCAACTTCTCAACAATTCTACAGATGCGACTCAGATAGTGCGCGTTGCTGAAGAGGATGAGTTTGTTGTCGGCATAACACGCTACCGGAACATGATAACTATCGTGACGCGCTTCAAAACCACTGACGTCCAGCTTTCTTATAAGAGGAAGTAGAAACACATTCGCGAAGTAGGGTGACAAAATCGCTCCAAGGCTAATGCCTCCCGCGAAGCGGTGAACAGGAAACAAACGCTGATCACCCAATATTCTGCGTGTTGACGGAGATGAACGCCAGGCGTCAGGAGAGCCTAGTACTGCGCAGACGGCGAATCGCCAGCAAGCAGCAGAGAGCAGCAGAAGGCCGGCGTGCTGGAGACACTCCAAGCATTTCCGAGTATCTGGATTAGTGGCGAAGACTGCCAAGTAGAGCACTTAACGGATTGGACCGGATCAGAAATTTCCGCCGAAGCTTGGTAAGGACCGGCCCGGGTTTTCAAATTTGCCAGCTTGCACGGACTGAATGGATTGAAAGCCATTGAAAATGGGAGTTATCACTAAATATTCTCTCACATGCTTGATGAAGAGATCAATTTAGAAAGGAACCTCTAAGCCAATAGCATACAGGACTTTCGAATTCCAAGCAATGTACAAAAAGGACTGCATCGAACAAATGTAGCCACAGATTTCACAGTCAAAGTTTCTCATGAATGGCTCACATCGACAAATTCACATGAACGAGCGGACAATCAAAAATATTGTCACGGAAGACTAGAGCTCCCATTTCTCCCAAGGTAATAAAAATATATAGTGATATAAAACCCAACCTTATTATAACATAGCTATCATTCCTCATGATCTTGTCAGCAATCCGTTTTGACCCATGGGTGACATCCGCATTTCAGAGTTGAAAAACAGGGCAGGCAGCATATTTTGTTAGTAGAGAGCACACAGAGATTTGAATATAACTTAGCTATCTGAGAAAGTAATAAAGGTTAGGCTACCATGTAGGTCTGAGAACGTATAAAGGTCAAGGTTACTAATGGGAACACTATAGTTTCTGTTTGTCTTAATTATCAGCCAAATTTATGAGTAAACGTCAGCTTCATACTGAATGTACTGCTTCAGCTGATTCACTCCCAGGTGTCTGTCAGGACAAAGATTGTTCCATCCTGACAGTTATTTGTTAACCCACTCCCCCCTCCATGAATGTATCTAAAAAGATGAGTATGTTGCTCTCTAGAGCCATGGACCAAAATATAAGTCTCTCACCAGAACTGAGTTAAGTGCTCTTCGCAACCAGCAAAAAATGGCATTGGGTAGCTATTTATTTCTTTGTGTCTTGTCGACCCTACTTCACTTGCATTAGCACTTGCATTAACTCACTATCCACAAGTTGTACACCAACCATGCATTTTCATGTCTGTGACTCTTCAGTAATGATTGAAAAGCGCCAGCACGCTTTAAACAGTCAGGAAATCAATGTGAATGAACATTCCACCCAAGACCGCCCACTTATGCCTCAAGTGAAGATTTCACAAAATTTGGAGCAGCTTGTGCAATCCCCAGAGCTCTTGGCGAGTGGTTAGTATGAACATCGGTGCCGAAGCGCCAGCGGTCATGAGTTGTCTGGTAATGAGCAGCAAGTACCTACGAGTACTGCAAGTGATTACTCGCACCGCGCTCTGTGAATATGGGTGGATTTTGCATTTGTATCTAAGGCACTCTCGGAGTGTTTAGAGTTACTGTATCACATGATCATAATTATGTAAGGAGTTCTAGCACAAATGGTAACAATAGGACTAAAACGAAGCCGACCGCGTTCCACTCTTCACTCTAAGCCAAGTGAGCCGTGCCCGGTGATTTAATCGGGAGGGGGGTTTCACCGTCAGAGGCCCTTTGCCAAACCTGTGCCTCCTCCTTCTCCTTTACCAAGGCTCTGGCTGTGCCCGTGCGCGTCTGTATTCCTCCCGCTCGTGCGCGCGTGCTGGGAAAATTCCAGGCTCTTGATGCCGTCTGTTCAACCGGTACATGGGTTAACAAGCAAAAGATGATAACAGACAAACAGACATGCAGACGGACGCATATTTTATTAGGTAGTATATTATATGTCAACCTCGTTTGAACAAAGAACCAGTACAAGCACGTTGTGCACCTCCACCACCGCCAACTGTGCGGCCGGCCTCAATCTGCAGTTGGGGGTCTAAACTTGATTATGACGTAGGTCATTTGGCTTTAACTATAAGAGCAGCAACAAACTGAAAATGAACGAAGTCATACACATGCAACGCACTCGTTCTATCTGACGCGCCAGGGTGAGCCACTGTGAGACAGCTCCGGGCCCGCTTGTCTGTGGAGCATGTCCCTGTCTAATGCGGGCGCCTTGCAGTGAACAGGCGACGGTTTTTCCCACCAGCTCCTATCCATTGGCTAACTAGTCGAACGCCATGCTGTAAATTCGGGCATATGCTCGTGTTTTTGGCACACAGCGACTTTGACATTGTCTTTGCCCAGCCCTCACAGTAAGTACACCGGTGATATCACTTGCAACTAGTAGACTGCACACTTATCGTGTGGCATTGCAGATAAAGATAGTCGTCATCGAGTGGGCGCAAAATGGCCCCGATACCGCAGCGCCCTAAAGCACCAAATCACCACCAGCCTCTTGATGATAAGCTCCCGGTTTGTCCATGCACTTGTCCGAAAACTGCTTTCACGGAGGGATGATGTCACTGGTCCACCGCAATGCCATTTCTGCCCGGATGAATCTTGGCCAGCCACTGCCAAATCTGCTGTGAGAATTATGTAAGGAGTTGCATGACGAGAGAGAGAGAGAGAGAGAGAGAGAGAGAGAGAGAGAGAGAGAAGAGAGAGAGAGAGAGAGGAGAGAGGAGAGAGAGAGGAGAGAGAGAGAGAGAAGAGAGAGAGAGAAGAGAGAGAGAAAAGACGGTATATTATGAAAAAGCACGACTTTGAGCATCAACCCATATAACAGGCAGGTTATCATTGTATGTATCAGAGTAACCTTTTAACATTCATTAGGCTTCACGGATGCAGTGGTGAGTGTGGTGGAGGGCTTACCCCTCAACTAGATGAAATGATATTCATGTTTATGAGGGTTGTGATATAAAGTGCGCTTGATTTTCGTAGCCTTGGGCCACAGCAGAATGTCTGTAGCGCGTCGCCGTGTCGGGTGGGTCTTTCGGAGATTGCTTCTCTTATTGGGGGAGCCCTATGCCCTGGAGATCTCAGGATTTGCTGTCCAAACCGTAAATAAACTAAACCGTTGCTGTTCACAGCGTCTTCCTCCTGTCCGCAAGGGCTCTCAATTTCAAAATCTATAGAGGCCGTTGATAACCCTTGTCATACCTGGCAATTATTTTGAAGGGCCCGCTTCTGCGCTCGTTCATTTGTTGGGCTTGGTGGCCGATGACGCCGGGATGAAAAGAGGCACAGTGTGCTCAAGCAATGGTCGAACATACGTGATGTAAATTTTCACCATTTGATCTTGTGCTGGACGGAATTTTGTCATGACATGAAGCACATATAAGGCCTTCGAACCCCTCTTAACAATTTTATCGACATGTGCCTGCCAAGTCGTATCGCTGG